GTATATATGTATATATGTATGCATGGTGTGTTTTTCATGGAACTTCATGGGATGACCTGCTTCAAAACCGTCCACTTCGCTCAGACAACGCAGTTTCTCTGCTGCGCGTCATCTAAATGTATCTTCTTGTTTGCAGCTGCATACTGAGGCAGCAATTGGACGACGAGGGACGTCTGCACGCAGAAGCGCATCCTTGAGCACAAGGACAGTTGCTTGCTCCGTCCCCGTAGTTGGGCGTGCCCCCCCGCCCTGGATCTATTTTGGATGGTCTTTCTGTTTGGCATCTCCGACTTTGGGGGGGGCATATTCAACAGCTTTTGGCCAGTATCCGCTGCTGCAGATTAGCAAGCTCAATTGCATGCTTGTACAGCGTCAAAGATTTTTGCCAGGATATGCTTTTCGTTGGAGACAAGGTCTGAGCCAGTGCGTGCACTGTCTTTCGCGTGCTCTTGCTATGACTGCATGTAAGTTTCCAACTGCATGTATGAATGTTTTTAATGTTGCTGCAGCTGGCAACAATACTCTCTGAGAAGGTCTGGCTGGTTCTGAAAGTATGGTCTATCTTAGTTGCACACAAATCATGGACATCCAGCCCTTAGCCGGGACAGAAGTAGCCCCCGTTTTGTAGCTTTTCACGTGTGCCCTTGGTGCCAGGTCATCATAAATCCGCCTGAGGACCTTGTGCCAGGGTATCAGTACAATGTCATGGCCCCAGATAACATTACAGGAACAACACCCTCATGGCAAGTGACTGAGACAGGTCTCCATCCAGAGCGGTGTCATCTCCAACTTTGAGGGCTTGCGCTGGACCCTGAGCTTCTGGAAACATCTAGCGCATACCCCATGGGGGGAGCTGTCCTAGCAAAAGCTGTCATGTCAAAAAGCAAAAAGCTGAGGCCCTCATCCTTTATGAGGTACGCTGAACAAGTATTTTGCAGGGCCAGGATACAGCGGGCTGATACCCGGCATGCCTCCCTGAATGTAAGCTGAAGGTAGGCAGTATCCGGAGCATCATGCATGCCCTGAGCATTGACCCGTAGCAGACGCATACATGTGGAGGGCAAAGGTTGCACATTTTGTAGATTTCATTCTGTTCTGCATGCGTCCTTGGTTTTGCATCAGAAACGGGGCTGGTCCAGAGGTGCGACAGCTGCTGGCCACTTCCAGTACTCCTTCTTCGTCCATGCAGATGTGCGGCAACTGAGCACTTTGGGGATGTCAAAGTGATGGATTACAGTCTGGGGTTGAGGTGACATGGATACTAATGTATTGCGACATGTAGAGCGGACATTGCAGGATGACAAGCTGGTAAGCGATTCGCAGTCGGTGGATGAAAGTAGCAAGCAGCGCTGCACGCAGCATTCGCACATACCTCTATTAATCCAGGAGTGGACCAGCCTGTCAGTAGTCCATATCCGCTAGCCCTTTTGGCTGGCTGGTAGACAAGTCTTGGCCTGCAAAGCCAGGCTGGCAGTTGCAGTGAAGCACTTGGACACGTGTTACCGGTGGAATCCCCATTTTCAATGCCTTACCGCATGCCGTATGCATAGGAAGCTCGAGACCCCAGAAATAAACAGGTGTTTGCAATAAAGGTTTTCAAAACATTGGAGTCCGAGTGATCATGGGATGGCGTCGCCTGGGTACCTGCGAGTGCTCAGCGCCTTCAACTGCCAGCCGGCATAATCTTCAATACAGACATCTCGTGCAGCTGGGTCAGATTCAGAGGCTTGCATCTAGCGAGAAGCAACCTTCATGTGGCTGACCAAAGCATGTGTATACCCGCTGACAACATTGGCAAAGCGGTGCGCATGGATGGATGCAAGTGCAGAGTACTGTGCGCACGAACACGATCGGACCATGGCTTCCCTTCGTTGCAATTCTCCCTAGTAGCCCCGTACGTAGCCCGACGGTACCCGTTTGGACCAGGCTTGAGCAGACTGCGTCACATGTGTCTGACATGCTTGATCCAGCGCATCCGGTTTCCGATTTCTTTGAACGCTTTGCGTTCCAGCTGGTGGCGATTGCCGCTGCTTGGTAGCAGGGCATGCGATCTGCGAACTAAGCTCAGGCTTCTGGTCCTGGCAGGCTACCAAGTCAGTTGGATGCTCGTGCAGCAAAAGGGCAATTCGTTTTTGTTCCAGACAGATCCATATACTTCTTCATCAGTCCTTCCCTGTCACAATGCAAGTCAGCAGGATCCAAACGCAGCCGCCACATCAGATTGATTTTCCCAGAAGGCTGCACGCTGAAGGCCAGCTTAGCAGGTCGTACTGGGCGCCGCAGCAAAGAAATTCAGTTTTAATCCAGCAGGGTCTTTCAAAAAGTGGTTTCCTCGGTACTTGGCTCTGGCAGGGAAGGCTTCCAGCAGAGAACATTGGCAGTGAGACTAACATGGCGATGATAATCACCATCATTGTAATCCGGCATCAACAGTAGCAACGGCAGTGGAAGCGAAACATAACAGCAGGTACTATAGCCGAACTCCTACATCCAAAATTTCGACCTTAAATTACACCAAGTCCCTGAACCTCCAAAAATCTCCAAAAACTACACGTCCCAAATCGTAAGCCTCCATTTGCTGGGCAGGCCTGGCTCTTACTGGAGTATGGCTTGCCTTGCCTTCCTTTTGTGGGTGGCCTGGGTGTTTGGGGACCGCTGCTCTGTCAGGTAGCAGATTCTCGAAATTGAATCTTTTTGGGCTTAGAGTTCTACCTCGGGTATAGGGCCCAAGATTTTGCAGATCCCACTGCGATAATATCCAACTGAACTGACCAGGCCAGAGTCGAATCGCTTTGCGCTTCAGGTCAGGGTTTGGAAGCATGGGTGGTCACAGCAATGAGGGTTCTGGAAGTTCTGGAAGTTCTGATTCTGATGGCAACGGCCTTGGTGATGAGAGTGACGCATATTACGATGGCTACGATGGCAACAACCTACGTGCCAACGAGGGAAATCCAAACCACCCATCGTTCTGGAAGAAGCTAGGGATCGATCATCGCCCCGATAATTGGAAAGCTTACGTCTCATTCGTCGATGACCCGATCGTCATGTCGGACTTAAGACGGCAGGCTGACGAACGCCCGGATGATTGGGTGGACCCTGCTACACACAAGCGAAGGCGAGGGCTTCTTGAGTTCAAGATCAACCAGGCCGCCTGCAGATCGAAAGAGGAACGAAAGGCTGCAGGCCGGGACGCAGTGAAGGTGGTGGATGCAGCAAAGAAGGCTTTGGGCGGCCAGGCAATGGTGCTCAAGAATGGCAGCCAGGCAAAGAAAACTGACCTGAACACATCCGACCTGGATCTCAAGATTGCCGGCACGCAGATGACGTCGCAAACGCGAAGCCTTTTGCAGCAGGAACTTCAGAGGACATTCAGTGGCAAGGTGGAAGTCACCAGAAAGGGTATTCTTCGCGTGCAGGGAGAGTCTGGCCAATTATGCATCGTCCCCATGAGGGCAGACTTCTATGACGAAGAGTTTGAGGCGGGGTGTCATCCGCAATGTCGCTTGTCGGGACCTAAGGGATTGTTGCAGGCAACAATTCGCCTTGGCAAGAATGATTTCGAGCAAAAGCCGGAAGCTCGAAAAGCTGTTCGTGCGCCTCGGCAAATTTATCTCAAAGTGATCGCGCTGTGCGGTGCTTATTGAGCATCACAAGAATCCCCCCGCGTAGCTATGCACCTCGACGCTTCTTCAGGAATATCGGATGCTTTCGCGATGCGGAGCATGACAAGTTGTTTGCTCACTCAGCGCGCGTTCTCACAACTGGAAATCACCGGAACCAGCCCCCACCACTGCACGCTAATCACTCGCAGCTTTTACTCTCCAGCATTGTTCCGACATGTTCCGGCGGTTCTGAATCCATTTTCTTGCAGGGTCCACGTGTCACAAGTTTCGCGGTCCATTGACGCTACTACTACCGGCCTCCGACATCATTTCTTTCCTGAGGCCGTCAAGGTCAAACTCCAAGAGGCGGGCGTTGATGTCAAGGGATACAAGGTGGAGTGCGCCGTGCAGAAAGCTGAGGCAGAGTGCCCTGGAGGAATTCAGCGACTGATTCATAGCAGTGGCCGCATCCATCGCAACAAAGCTGGTTGCCACACCCGTACCTAAGATACCCCGACGATGACTTCTATGACCTTGCCAGACGGGCCATGGATCTACTGGGCCGTGAACGGAAGGTGCTCTGGCATCACATGAGGATTGTCAGAAGACTTGTCTGATTGTCGCAGTTCGCTTGAGTGTCCACAGCTGAGGAAGAGTGCTGAGGGCTGAAGCTTGTTTTCCGCTGGCTGCCTGACATCCAGACTTTGTAGGGTCCACAACAAGTGGAGTTCCCTTGGCGCGAGCTCGGGCACTAGAACGATCTACAGCAACCCTAGTATATTTCCGTGATGTCCCACTGAAAGCCCATCGCTCGTGTGTTGCACAGAACAAGTGGTTATGCCACAATGGCCAAATGGCCTTTGTACAGCCTCAGCGGGGCATGATCGATTCGCACACCAGATGTGCAATAGTTGCTTAGCCCAAGCATTTCAATCAGTTCCTTGTACTGCATCCTATCCAGCGGGTGTTCGTCCAGTGACATCAACAGAGGTCTACTGACACCCAGCATGCATGCACGTAATTGCGGCAGACGTCAACATGTTACATAGATGAAGCAAAGCCTAATTCTGGAAGGCGGTCTTCGACCGTACACCTCCTGAGCTGGTGGCAGTGGAGGTTGCAGCTGCCCAAGCAGTAAGTGCACTGCGATGGTTCAGGTCCATTTCAACATCACCGACTTGCAGCCAAGGATTGCACGAACATTTCTGTGCCTGGCGAATCTGAAGATGCAGAAGGTGCCTTTAGTCTGATTACACTACCAATGAGGGCATTAGAGGCTCTAGAGGCACGACCACCAGCAAGGCAACAGGTAGTCTGTTTTGCAACGTTCATGTTCCCAAGGGTAGAATATTTGATGCAGAGCTTTTGCAACATGGGGTTTTTCAACAGCTCAACAATATCCACTAGAATCCCGCGTCAAGACTCCCATAATCCTCGCATAGCCCTGGCTGCCCTTTTGAGAAATCCCTACATGTCGGGAGGCTGTGCTGTTTGGCAGCGGATGCAGCACCAGATCGTTGGTGAGGCGGTGAAATGGGGGCCTGGAGCTTGGACACACCAACGTCTGCAACGGATCGCGGGTTCATCAGCGGTTCAGCCAATCAGGCCCCCGAGCTCGTAGTTTCAGAAGAGATTTCTAGCAGCCTACGCTTCTCTGTCCAAGTAGTTTTTTCAGAGGTTTCTGCGCAGGCCTGCTTGGGTTGTCAAGTTCTGCGCTTTGCTGAGGCTAGCGGATGGTGCCTGGCTCCCAGATGGAGATGTCTGAGGGGTCCTGCCAAAGTGCCTACATGTTGCTCTCCCTGTTTTTTCATGTTTTCTGTTTTCTCCCAAGACTGGCTTCCTGAAGCGTTGATGGCAAGTATTCTGGTGCTGCGGAAGGCTGCAAAAATAGAAGTTCATATTATCTTGTCCGTTCTTGGGATTGGAGGGTGCGCATAATTTCATCACTCACAAGCCCCAATCCGGACGAGGCTGCGCCGCCGGCAGTGCCCAGAGGGGCCAAGTTCCGCTTCTACTTCCACGAGCGGGCGCGAGGGGGCTTCCAGATGATTTTTGCAGGGTCTTGGTAGCGTATTGGGCTTTGAAATGAGAACTGCGGGCTGCCTCCACCGAACTCACTCGAAAAGAAAAGCCGCTTCGAGAGCTCTGTGTGGTTGGACCCATTGGCATTTCTGGTTCCACTGGAGGATTCCAAGAGAGCTGAAGAGCAGTCAACGTAAACGCCTGCCAAGAGCGATTCCTGCGATTCTCACCCTGTGTGCACGGGACTGCGGCAGTGTCGACATTTTGTGATCTACCGCTTAAAGCCGGTTGCGGCAGTCGGCCTAACCCCACATTCCATGAACTAGCATTGCAAAAGCATGTCCACGAAGCATTGAATGTAGTGCCAGGTACAAATCCTTGGCCGCTGGGAGCCTAGTTCTCAACTACAATCGTTTGTGCCTCGTTTGGTTTTGCGCGACATTCCGCCTTTGAAGCCAGGCCTTTCACCTTCATCCTCTTTTTGCCTAAATGTTTAGTCTGCCTTCATCAATCATCTCTTGGAGTCAGCTTCCCAGTCCCCTGCCATCGAGACCCCTCCAGCCCAGGCCAGGCCTGGGAACCCCCCCCCCCTTTGACTGAAGGAAATGCTGCGACGCTGTACGCTGAGCCGCTGGAGAAGGCTCGCGATATGGGTCAAGGGTTCTGCACCTTTGGAGTTGAGAGTGCTGATTCTCGTTATGATCAACAGGTGCCATACTCTTGCAAACATTACTGGCCCATTTCAGGAGAGAAAGCCAATTGTTGAAAGTTCGAAGTTCTGTCAAAGTTTGAATCGGTAGCTTGCAGGCAGGCAACATGAACCAAAAGAATAGGCATTCACAAGAATGTGCTGCACATTGAGTACGTACCTTTACGTGAAGCTTCAAAGTCCACCACATGTGATGCTCGATTTCTATAGCTGCATGAGCTACATCAGAAGCTCATCTTATAGGCAAGCGTACCCTTTTTGATCGAACATCTGCTTTGGGAACCAGGTAAGATTAGCCAGAAGAGAATTCACACATTACTCCAAGAATATCGTTTCGCTGCAGAGGCCCAGAACAGGCAACTGTCATGCTAGCTTGGCAACTGGAGTGTCGTATGCGCAGGAGCCGCTCTCTCTGGAGCAGGCGCGGAGCGGCTGCAGGGAACATTATTCTGCCAATACTTGCTTGGCAGGGTCTGTACCTGCAATACGATGGCAGTTGCGCCTGGAGCCCTGCGTCGTTGCCAAAACTTCCCAAAACTTGAGTTTGGCCCAGCAAACGTCACATCCAGGTGGAAACCTCACCTCCGTCTGTTGTGTTGAGCCATGTTGAGCCACTGCATCCATGCTTCCTCGGAGCAGGTTCCGGCAATGATTGGGAGTGTCGTGGAGGCTCCTTTGCAATTTCGTGGAGTTGAAATGTTAGAGTTTTCAAGGGACCTGCAAAGCTGGAGTTGCCTGGCGACATGACAAAGATCTTAGCTGCTTTGCAGGATTCCGTTCTGGTGGTGGCCTGGTACTCAGGGCATCTCAAGGCTTTGCAAGCTTTCCTCCCTGTCTGGGGTCGTTCTTCTCCTCATTTCCTCTAGGGAAGCACTTGCTGCCTTGTCCCCAAGGCCTTGCGAAGCCAGTACATCGCACGAAGCTGTAAGAAGAAGCAAATTCCACGTAGCATTTCAGCAGGGCTCCGAAAGTTCGCCACTGATACAGTGCCTGTTGCAGCTTGTGACGCCCAAACAACTGATTGACCTGCCTCGCAACCTGAAGCTTCTTGCTCGTGGACTGATGCTGCATTCGACATGATACAATGAAGATCTCAAACTCCCGTAGTTAAGGGCACTTCGCATTGCCATGCATTGCCCGGAAATATGCAAGTACCCACCATTGGAAGCTTTCGGAAGTCCCATGGTTTGGATAACGAAGCATTACCCAGACCGAATCTCTCAGAAAGATGCCATTGTTTCTATTGTTCGGGATTCTTAAGTCAATGTAGGACATAGGCTGTGGCAAGATGATAACAGCGTCCCAAAATCCTAGCCGAACCGCGCAGATGCGATTTGGGCTTCTTTCAGGTTCTGTCACGTAGAAATTGCAAATGAAGTACCTAGCTATCATCTATCCTGAGCCCGGCTGAATGTGATAATCCAACGTAAAGATGGGCTTTGGCTGTTTTGAGGTGTACCCGTAGCTTTAAAATGCGTGCCCCCACCCCTCCGCCACGTTAAGCAATCCGTGCCGCAGAATATTTAACATAGGGGGAATATTTCTTGAAAGAGCTGGACAGGCACCCCCTTTCCTTTTCTGCTTAATTGAGATTCTTTTTTCAAATTCCTAATTAGTTCCTGTAATTCATAAACTAAGTCGAATGGTTCCAAGTTTGAGTTCTCCAATTAGTTTTGACTTTCAATGCGCAGTTTTCGGTCATTAGTTCTGATCAGGACGCGAAATTCTGATCAATTTCCGTATTCTATAAAACCATAACGAGAATTAAAACGAGGATACTTAGGAGATCCTGACTTGATTCTGATTCCTCAGAACCACCCCTAGTTCAGGATTGGGTGGCCCCTTTAAACAACAATCTTGCCCCTTTAAAAGTCTACTTCAGGATTTTAGGGCTCTGACAAGCATTTGATATTAGGCGGGGAATATTAGGGGGAAGTGACTAGTGGAGGACCTTGATTTGACATGTGCCGACTTGCCAGATGTGAATATGTCATCTTCTCTGGGCCATTCCCAGTTATCCCATGTTTTGAGTTTTCAGGTGTTGTGTGGGAGGGCTGTATATGATTGTATATATCCACGAGGAAGATATACACGAAATCCATTCTGACTGCTGTGTGCATGCCGATCAATCGATAGATAGATAGATCGATTTTATCATGATATGTGAGGGCTAGTGCTACATACCTGTATATATATATATACATGCATGCACACACATAGATGTGTAGATATAGATGCGTGGACGTACACATATATACACTGTATAGATGTGTCTGTGTGTATGGTTGAAAATGATACTTACATTGTGTATGCATGCGCTTTGCACTGCTAGTGCATGTCTGTATGAAGGTATGCTTACAGGTATGCATGCATGCATGCATGCATGAGTGTATGCATCTGTATGTATGCATGCATTCAGCAAAGGCTCTGGAGCTACTTCCTGGCGAGCTCTACACCGTGGGGGTGGGCTCTGGTCTTGCGGACCTGGCCGGACTCTCAGTCGAGCTGCCGACTGATGGAGAGCTACTGGGAAAGATGGCTAACTGGATCTCCCGCATCCATCCGAGACTAGCAAGGAAGCTGCATGCGTGGGGCATAGCTCCGCGCGCACAGCTCATGAGAGAACAAGCAACACGGATGGAAGGATGGATGGCTGGAGGGAAGCATGGATGGATGCAGAGTGATCTGCGTGGATAGAACGGTTTGGGGTTAGGGTTCAGCCTTAATTGGAAAGCACTCAAGTACAGTAGCAACCATCCTGCATCCAGGGGCTTATGATGTGTGGCTTGGTGTTGGGCAAGCTGCCCGCAAGCTCTGGGACCTGAAGGCGAAGTTTCGGCCTTC